ATAGGGAATGCAAATGACAGGAGTAAGATTTAAAGCCAATTCAATGATCTCCAGTGTCATTTGGCATTTATGAACCAGGAAGTCTCTTTCTTAAAAATAATTGGCTGGTTCTGAGTAAAAAATATACCCAAGGTTGTTGGGAATGGTCTGGCTGAGATCAGTGACAGGACATCCTAAGGGTGCCCCCTTCTCCCTGTCTTAAAAGAGAATGCTCTTCCACCATTTTAAAGATGCAGATCAGGTGATAACACAGAGTTACTTATGACATAATATACAAAGAAAAAGCCAATTTACAATGGCATCTCATAGTATCCTTTCAAAATTATCTACATGTGCTCTTTCACATCATACACAAAAATAAACTCAAAATGGCTTAAAGACTTCAACATAAGACAACACTATAAACCTCTTAGAAGAAAACATGGGCAAAACATCTGACATAAATCTTATCAATGTTCTCCTAGGGCAGCCTACCCAGGCAACAGAAATAAAAGCAAAAATAAACAAACGGGACCTAATTAAACTTACAAGCTTCTGCACAGCAAAGGAAACAATAAGCAAAACAAAAAGACCACATACAGAATGGGGGAAAATATCTGCAAATGATGAGACTGACAATGGCTTAATTTCCAGAATATATAAACAGCTCATGCAACTTAACAAAAACAATCAAATCCAAAAATGGGCGTAAGATCTAAACAAGCAATTCTCCAATGAGGACATACAAATGGCCAATGGGCACATGAAAAAAATGCTCAGTATTGCTAATTATCAGAGAAACACAAATCAAAACTACAGTGAGGTGACTGACCTCACATCAGTCAGAATGGCCATCATTCAAAAGTCCACAAACAAATGCTGGAGAGGGTGTGGAAAAAAGGGAACCCTCCTACACTGCTAGTGGGAATGTAGTTTGGTGCAGCCATTATGGAAAACAGTACAGAGATTCCTCAAAAATCTAAAAATAGACTTACCATGTGGTCCAGCAATCCCACTCATGGGCATATATGCAGAGAGAACTCTAAATTTGAAAAGATATATGCACCCCAATGTTCACAGTAGCACAATATACAATAACCAAGAAATGGAAACAACCTAAATGTCCATCAACAGATGACTGGATTAAATAAGCTGTGGTATATTTATACAATGGAATACTACTCAGTCATAAAAAAAACAAAATAATGCCATTTGCAGCAACATGAATGGATCTAGAGATTGTCATTCTAAGTGAAATAAGCCAGAAAGAGAAAAATACCATATGGTATCACTCATGTGAAATCTAAAAAAAAAGATACTTATTTACAAGACAGAAACAGACTCAGACATAGAAAACAAACTTATGGTTACCAGGGTGGGGAAGGATAAATTGGGAGTTCAAGATTTGCATATACTAACTACTACATATAAAGTAGATAAACAACAAGTTCATACTGTATAACACAAGGAACTATATTCAGTATCTTGTAGTAATTTACGGTGAAAAAGAATATGAAAACGAATCTATGTATGTTCATGTATGACTGAAGCATTATGCTGTACACCAGAAATTGACACATTGTAAACTGACTACTTCAATAAATATATATATACAAAAAAATTATCTATGTGTATAAAATGTATTTGAAAATATGCATATGGAGGTATCTGGGAAGTAACACATCTCACATTTCCTGTGCAGCCTTCCCTCAGAAACCCGGGAACTCTCCTGCCTCTCAGCTTTTAAACCCTTTTCCAGATTCTGTCAGTGACTTATATTCCCTAGAGTTTCAGGGAAGTACCTCACAGGCCACAACATTAAATGAGGGGGGTCCTTGGAAAATGGTACCGTGATTCCATCCAACACTTGCTTCAAACAGAACAGCTCCCCTTTTATCTGTCAGTTATCGGGCTTCTGCCTATGATTTCATCTGAAAGAATGTTTTCCACAGCTAAACTAAGTGTGAACATCACTGGCCATAACATTAACTTGGTACCTTCTTTATAACACTTCCAATGGTATATAGTTTTATGCAACATTACAGATGATCTTTTTGCCAAAGTGCATGATGTTTTCCCAGAATAGCTCCAAAGACTTGACAGAACCTTAGTCCTACTTCCTTTACTTTCCCAGAATGTCTAGAATATCCTCATTGTTTTACTGAATGATTGAAGAGTTCTTTCACACGGACACCCTTCTCTAGGGCAGCCTGTCGGCTAACCAACACCCAAGACAGTTTCAAAGATGAGGACTCAGTGATCTACAAATTTCAACTGCTTCACCCATTACACCTGAAACTGTTTTACTATTATCTCCCACCACAGACGCACATCCTTTTCAGAAGCATTCTCTAAAGCATTAAACAACCATTCTTCAAATGATATTTGATACCAAACAATTGTCAAATGTAGCAGTATGCTCAAAAGAAATGTAATTATGAGACTGGGCTAAACCCGAACACAAGATACAAAAAACTAATGTAAGGATTTTGAAATGAGTAGGTTATTCAGTGGGCCCAATGTAATCACAAGAATCTATTATAAGAAGGAGGCATTAGGGGTGGAGTCAGAAGAGAGGTGATGATGGAAGCGGGAGGGAGGGGAGGAGGCGGAGGGGAGGGGAGGATGCTGTGTTGCTGCCTTTGCAGATAGAGGAAGGGGCATAAGCCAGGAATGGGGGTGGCACCTAGAAACTAGAAAAAGCAAGGAAATGCTTTCTCACCTAAAGCCTCCACAGCTGGGCTAACAATAAACTAGTACAGAATACCTGAAAACATCTCTCAAGAGACTGATGTCCCAGTGGGAGGCTGATCTGGTGGGAAACGCTGAAACCAGAATCAGGAATCCAGGGTCTCTCTCAGCTCAGCTACTAACCAGTTTTGCAATGACCAGCAAGTCAAAACCTCTGGGGCACTTTCTCTCTTTTACCTCATTTAAAAAAATTTTGTGAAGATAAAAATCATTGACCTCACAAGAATAACTAAAAACTTGCATATCTCCATGTCTCAATAACAACTACTGAGCAAAAGGTAAACTAACACCTAAAGTAGAAAAGTTTTAAACTTAAAGAATTTCCAGAACTTACAAAGATTTGCAACAAGGGACTGAAGAGTGGTAAAGGTTTCTGTTTTGGTGCACTCAGCAGAAAAGTTAATTGACAAATATTTTGTACCCAGTTTGAAATATCTGAAATCAAATTCCAGCCTGCCTGTCCCTCCATCCAAACATCTCTCCAAGATCTGCAATACAATATTTCATTATCGGGGATTTTTAAAAATCTTTTTAACTTTTTTTCCTCCCAAGAGTAAACATGAACGGCAAAACCTACCAGCAGAAGCGCTGCATCTCCCATGTTAAAAAGGAGGGCAGAGTCAAGGCTCTGGGGTGAGGTCTTCTCCTTCCCAGCGTGCCCCCAGGAGACCTGGTTCACAGGGGATCTCTGAACTCTGCACATTCCCTCCCCAGCCCATCCAGTCCTGAGATGTCTGAATCATGTGTGACGATGCCATGCCACCTGCTGGATCCGGTAGTCAAGTCATGGAAATAGCTCTAGTCGGTGCTGAGGAGAGTATCCATCATCACATCTACACTAGCCACTCAGGATGGGCAAGAACGTACCAAGAGTAAAACACAGACAAACAAAAACACCAAATTGTACTTTCAATGGGTGAAGTGTGTGGTATGTGAATAAAGCTCTTTAAAAAACAAAACGCAGAAGAATTCACTGTACAAGGTGGTCAAAGCAATAAAATCTTCCTAACAACGTGCTTTTCCTCTAGAGGACAGAACATGTTATTCAATAAGAACCCAGAGCAAACTGTATCCCACAAAAACAAAACAGCCGTAGCCAGAGCTGCACTGATTACATCTAAAGCATGACTGTAACCATTTGGGGCTCATATATAATATATATATTAGCCCTTTACTTGCGGTTCTCCTAGGACTGTGGCTTCTACAACAAGCAAATTGCCTTCACTGTGGGGAAATCAATCCCTCAGACAGTTCTCTCTAGAGCTGTTTTGGATGATCAAGGCCTCTCATTACGTTGTAACAAAAAATCAGAGCCACAATTATAATTTGCATTATAACAACGTAAAAAGCAAACAAACTCTCACAAAGAAAAGAGATAAAAGAAAATACATCATCAAATCAACCACAGCTGTGTTTTAATAGGACTAGAAGTGTTTTGGGTTTTTTTTTCCCAAGAAAAGAAAGTTTTAAATTCTACATAAGCGGGCACAATGCAGCTACCTCCTTTTCTTCTTACCATACTCTTGCTTTCCAAATTTCATCTTCTGTAAGGTCAAAACACAAGTTCGGGGGGTTGGGGGTAGAGGTAGGGTATAGCTCAGTGGTAGAGTGCATGCCTAGGGTGCATGAGGTCCGAGGTTCAATTCCCAGTACCTCCATTACGTAAATAAATGAATAAACTTAATTACCTCCCCCCATTAAAAGAAAAAAAAACTAACAAAAAATTAAAAACACACACACAAGTTGTTAACAAAGGTAAAAAACGCCGAGACATTATGAAGAGCAAAAAGCATTCACCTGGCAGCTGGGATTCCTGGATTCCAGCTAGTTAGTGCCCAGATACCAAGGAAACAATGACCTACAACAGGTCATTTACATCTTCTGAGCATCTACCTCCACATTTGGAAAGTTGTGACACAGACTATCCAAAAGGGCCACTTTCAGATCTAACAGTCTCATTTTTAAGGACAAAGTTCAGGTCTCCCGGCTACCGGTTTGTGGAATTTGAAACACACAGGATGGCCGCCAAGTCTGGAGACGTATGTAAATGCGTAATAGATGGTTATTGACGTTAAATAACACAAGATAATCATCTATGTTTCCACACCTGACGCCCACTCTGTAACGAACAGCACAACCCGTCTTCCTCCATCACCTTCCCTACAGTGGATTCAGCAGCTACCTAACCAACCGCAGAAGCAGGACGCCGAGGAAGGGGCTGTTTTGCAGCAGCGGCCCCTCGGACTCAGCCAGACCTTCGCAACACTGACCTTAGAGACGGACGGGCACTCAGCTTGGCGCCTGCTGCCTGGAACGACCCTCCAAAGACACCGGATAATGGAACACGCCATTCAGGGAGGCCCCTCAGCAACGAGGAACTGTGGACAAAAAAAAACGAGCCCCGTCAGAGGACTAGAGAAAGGAAGCTTCGGGAGCGCAAGGCCTTCAGCACAGAGGGCAGGACCAACCGCGTCTCAGGGCCGAGCGCCTGCTGGGCCGGTGAAGACGGCGCCAAAGCGAGGGCTGACTTCGCCGCCGCCCCTGGAGACAGAGCCGCGCACGCTCCACAGGAGACCGCCGACGGCGCCGGAGCCGCGCCAGCCCCACTCGCCCTTCCCGGAGCTCCGCCCGCAGCCGCAGAGCCCGAGGGCCCGAGCATGAGCACTTACTCCCCGAGACCGGAAGTAAGCCATACTGCTTCCGGTCTCTGATTGGAACAAGCTGTTCCCCAGTGTCTTGGCTCCAGGTGCTTCTCCTTAAGGCATCCTCAGCCGGTATTCCCGTGGCTCTGTTATCGCTGCTCTCCTTGTTGGTTCGCCTCGCCACCTCGATGGTAGCTCCTAGAGAAAAGGGACTCTTCTCCCACCCGCGGTTCCCAGGGGCTCTGTACCCCTGTACCCGCTTCTCTGTCCACCCAGGGATCTAGAGACCCCACTTCTCTTCCAGAACTCATGAAACCAGCTCCCCTCACGAACTCAAAGCTCTAGGACCAATTGTTCCCAGACTCTAATTCCATACCCCACACCTGCTTCACATAAAATCCTTGGAGCTGAACTCCAAGCTGTGATCCTAGGCGCTCAGTTTCCCCCCTGGAGATAAGCATCATTCAGTCTCCCGACTCCCATTCAGGACCGAGGGGCCCAAGGTGCCCACTTCCTCTCCAGGACCGAGGGATCCCAGATACCCAGCTCCCACTCTAGGCCCAGGGATCCCATATGCCCAGCTCCTCTCTTGGACCCAGATATCAGAAGCACCCAGCTCTCTCTTAGACCCAGAGTATTCCAGGTTCCCACTTAACCTCCTAGACCCAGGTATATCAGGTCCCCAGCTCCCATTCTAGACTTAGGATTCCAGGTCCCCCAAAAAGAAGAAATGAAAAAAGAAAACAAAAAGAAAAATATTTGAGCTTTATAGTCCCAGTGTTTGCTGAAGTGACTTATACCAGCTTCACAAGTGCAATCCTTGGAGAACAGTGGGCATCCCAGAACTTCCTTTGCGGGGCAGGATAGCCTACTGCTTATGAGCACCAGGTCTGGAACCCCAGCTCCGGGGTCAGACCCATGGGGATCTCTATCCTAACCCTTTCATCAACTAGCTGTGTGACCTACATGCTCTCCCTGGGCAAGTTACTCATGTCTATGCCTCATGTCACCATCTGTAAGAAGGTAGTAATAGTACTCAAGGAGCTGTCATGAGGATTCAGGGCATAGAACACTTAGCACGGAAGTTAGGACTCACTCAGTAAATGATTGTTGTTGTTAATCACTCTTTCCTGGAACTGAGCTATAAGATAAACTTTCCCTAGTCTTAGGGAGAGCTCACACTTAGCTCTGCTTTTATCAGAAGCCAATTAAAAGCTTGGCTACTAATTTACTTTGCCTGGGTTTTTTTGAGTATTAAGCTGCCTGAGGTCCCTGGTAACATAATTTTGTTTTTTTAAAGCCTGTGGCTCAGATTTTCCATTATTGTAACACTCTTTCTCAGATTCCTGGGGGAGTTACTTCTTGACAACATCACAATGGATGGTGGATGTCCCTGTCAGGAAAGGTAGTCTGAGACCCAGCTGGGGCGTTTGGCGCTGGTGGCTACACTGTTGCTAGTATCTTAAGCACGTGTGGAAGTAGAGGAACCATGCTTAAAGCTCATTTCCAAGCTGAGGAAACCAGGGGTCAGAGGCAACATATACATAGAGAGAGAGAGAGCGAGCCAGGGAGAGACTGTGAGAAAGGACAGTGGGAAGACGGGAGACTCAGGATGCTGGAACTTGGAATTTTCTCCCAGGAAGAAAACTCAAAAATTAATTTCCAATTCTCAAATGGTTCAGAAAATAATACGTACGTGTATATGCATATATGTAAGTGTGTTCATGTGTATATGTGTGTGTGTGTGTATAGAAACAATTGTGACAAAATGTTAATAATTGGAAAATCTGAACTAGGTATATAAGGTAATTCTTTGTACTATCCTTGCATTTTTTCTATAAGTTTGTAATTATTTCAAAATAAAAAGTTAAAATAAATATTCTCCATAAGAACATAGGAAACTCCATCTTCCAGCCCTTCAGGCCAAATGCTTTGTCTCCAACTGGAGCACTGGGGCTTTCTTCCCTGAGTCACTTTCAATAGGTTTGGGGAGAACCACATGGCAGTCTTTAGTTTCTCTCGAGTGTATTAAATATCAAATTCCTATGCTATTGAAGCCTTCTTAAACTTCTTTAGCTTTTTGTCTTCTATATCTTTAGGAACCTCGAGCATCCCACGTTTATAAGCCATCATGTAAAGTAGTATTTTTTTTTCAGATTCTGAACTGATCTCTTCCATGTACATCAGGTAGCACTAGCTGATCGTAGCCTGTAATTCACAAAACGTTCATTTGCTCTAAGTAACACTAGTGAACAAAAAATGCTGAAACCATCAAGTCATCAGTGGCTGCCGCCACTCCACAGTGAAGATAAGCCTGCAGCCTGGCCTCTGCAGCCGCTCACAATGGTGCGCTCTGAAGGGACTCAGAATAAGAAAGGACAGGATACTGGCCCTAGATGGCTAGGTGCTTGTCAAAGGAGTGAATTCAATGAGCCCAAATTGCTCCCTCCCATACATAGAAAAGCACTACATTCTTTAACTTGAGATACCTGGTTTTCTTCAGTTAAGAAGTAATCTTTTAATGTTCCAACTTCCTGGTCTTTGTTGTAAAACTCCTATATATCCTGGCTCCTCTTCTACCTCTTCGGAGCAGTCCCTCAGAGCGATCTGAGAGGTCTGAGAGGCTGTCAACCCGGGCTGAGTCCTCAGAGTTGTCCACCGAATAAAACCCTAGGTTGTGCATTTATTTCAGTCGACACACTCAAGGTATTTCTTTGCATATATCCCCACTCCTTGTAAGGTGATGTGGGGCCTCTTTACCACCAGAAGTGGTTCTAGTGAGATTTTAGGATATTTCATTGTCCGCAGCACTAACTGGGGGTTACTGTAAATTGCTGAGATAAGATGTCACCCCAGTTTACTCTTTCATAAGTACAACCACTTCCCAGAGAAAGGGAAAGAAAACAGAAAAGGAAATCCAGCACCACTGGTGGCTTTCAGTAGTGAGTACTTATTTATTGAGTCAGTACTTATTGGCTGAGTTCTGGGTCTTTGAGGAATTTTTTAATGTTATTCTTAGTTTCCAGAGAATAACTGAGGAAAGCAGAGTCAAGTATCAGAACTCAGAGGTCAGACCCCCAGCCCAGCACAATCTCCACTAAATGACACTAAGCATTTCTGATTCAGCCACAGAGTAGGACACATAATCATTTCAATTCCACAAACCCTTTTCCCTGGACCATTCTGGCTCCTCTGATCCCCTTCAGTGTATCTTTCCACTTCCCATTATAAAATTTCAAAGTTCTAGAATCATTTTATCCAATAATTTTTTCTTTTCCCAACTTTAAAATGTCATTTTCTTTAAAATCTCTTAAATGCCTTCTGCACAGAAATTGTTTATTTTTCTTTTATTTCTCACCTCAGTATATCCTTCAGGAATTCTCTCTGAAAAGAAACCTAATTCATCATTTGGTGGCTTTCATCACTATCACTTGTCTTAAAGTCTTATTAGTATGTTAACCCATTCAAATGCAGTGTGCAAAAATCTATAAAAAATTCACAATAGTAGACTAAATTTACAGTAATCCCTAATTAGAATTATTTTTTTAATACCACTTCTTTCTAGCACCTTTTTTTCATTATCCAGCTCTGTTTGTTTGATCTCAGCCAGGTGTTGATGGGGATGAAGTGGTGGCGAGGGTTGAGTAAAAGAAGAGGAAGCTTATCTCTGCAGGGCGGGGAGAGGGAACACAGGGAGGAAGAGCACCCTCGGTTCTTAGAACAGTGTGGTCCCCCAACCCACTTATAAACAGCCCCTGGGAACTTGTTAGACATGCAAATTCTTGAGCCCTTGTCCAGACCTCCTGGATCAAGCTGTGCAGGTGATTCTGATGCATGCTTATGTTAAAAGAACTGGGTTGTTTAAGATGTGTTTACTGTAGAGATACAGAACACAGTCAAGATTAAGAAACACCTATTTGAAAAGAATTGCCTTGACTGGCTTGAGTATTGAGCCCCCAGGAACATACCCCACTTACATGTAGGCTCTCCTCGTTTATCATTGATGGGTATATTGGGGTGGTTATTTTTATTCCACAGGGCTGACAATTTATTAGACTTGCTAATGAGCAGCAACCATGCATTCCTGCTGCCTGTCAGTCAGAGCAGCCAAGGTATACCACACAAGGCGAGAAGAGCTTAGCAACCAACCTTCTTCCACAGTCTGCTCTCAGGAAATAAGCAAGGGGAGGGTCCAGAGGTGTCATTTGACACTGACGTATTTATTTCCTACGCAAAAGAGCCCAGGCAGAAAGACAGAGAAGCTAACCTCTGCAAGGAGCTGGATGGAAAAGGGGATGCTGACAGCTGCCTCGGCAGACTCCAACTCCAGCACCATGAACGTGTCCTTTGCTCACCTCCACTTTGCCGGTGGGTACCTGCCCTCGGACTCCAAGGACTGGAGGACCATAGTCCCAGCTCTCTTGGTGGCTGTCTGCCTGGTGGGCTTCGTGGGGAACCTGTGTGTGATTGGTATCCTCCTTCACAGTGCTTGGAGGGGAAAGCCATCCATGATCCACTCCCTGATTCTGAATCTCAGCCTGGCTGATCTCTCTCTCCTGCTGTTTTCTGCACCTGTCCGAGCTACAGCATACTCCAAAGGTGTTTGGGACCTCGGCTGGTTTGTCTGCAAGTCCTCTGACTGGTTCATCCATACATGCATGGCAGCCAAGAGCCTGACAATCGTTGCAGTGGCCAAAGTATGTTTCATGTATGCAAGTGACCCAGCCAAGCACGTAAGTATCCACAACTGCACCATCTGGTCGGTGCTGGCGGCCATCTGGGCTGTGGCTAGCCTGCTACCCCTGCCAGAATGGCTTTTTAGCACCACCAGGCATCACGCAGGTGTGGAAATGTGCCTCATGGATGTACCTGCTGTGGCCGAAGAGTTCATGTCAGTATTTGGTAAGCTCTACCCTCTCCTGGTATTCTGCCTGCCATTACTCTTTGCCAGCTTTTACTTCTGGAGAGCATATGGCCAATGTCAGAAACGAGGAACTAAGACTCAAAATCTTAGAAACCAGATGCGCTCAAAGCAACTCACAGTGATGCTGCTGAGCATTGCTGTCACCTCTGCTATTCTGTGGCTCCCTGAATGGGTAACTTGGCTGTGGATGTGGCATCTAAAGGCTGGAGGCCCGGCCCCACCACAAGGTTTTATAGCCCTGTCTCAAGTCTTCATGTTTTCCATCTCTTCAGCAAATCCTCTCATTTTCCTAGTGATGTCAGAGGAGTTCAAGGAAGTCTTGAAAAGCTTATGGAAATGGATGATAACCAGAAAACATCCGACTGCCTCAGAGCCTCAGGAAACACCAGCGGGTAACTCACAGGTCCTTCCTGACAGTGTTCCATCTCCAGAATCCCCAACATTCAAACCAGAGAAAGAGAAAACTGGCTCTCCCTCCTCCGGCAAAGAGAAGATTGAGAATCCCATCCTCCCTGATGTAGAGCAGTTTTGGCATGAGAGGGACACTGTCCCTTGTGTACAGGACAATGACCCTATCCCCTGGGAACATGAAGATCAAGAGACAGGAGATTGTGATAAATAGATGACTTTCATAGCAAAACAAATTGCGATTAGTGTATTTATTTGTAATGTTGCTTATCAATATTGTTGACTTTGCCATATGATACATGATAAAATTATTACCATTGAGTTACAAAAATGCTTCACAGCCTGCATTTTCAAAATGTGCAATTTGGTAAGTAGAATATCCTATTAGGAGTAATAATTATGTTTCAGAATTATAACCTGGCTGTCCTAAGATTTAACTGTGTTGTATGAAGTTGTTTCTGTCACAAGTGATTAGAAAGGCCAGCTCTTCTGTCATTCGTCCAGTGGCTGTTTTATTAGGTACCCCTTAGCATCAGTCTTATACGAGCTGGAGAAGGGCTTATCTGTCAAAGGCTAACCTCTTTACCTTTAGTTTCTTCCTGAACCTGCTAACCCTAGCTTCACCCATCAAACTATTTCACACAACCAAAGCTCAAAATCTATTTCCACTATAAAGAGACTTTTCTTGAACATATACATTTTAATGAGTTACCTTCATGTGCTTAAAAAGTGTTACTTAATGAAAATCCATACAGAATTTCCATGCTGAATTTTGCAGAATAAGGAACATCACCTTATTCTAATTCTGGGCTAATTTCGAACCATGGCTTATTTTGGCTAAGTTTTAAGTAAATTCAGACTTCATCTTATACTAAAACCTGCCTCTTTTTAAAGCACGGCAGTGAGCCTTCAGTTTCTAACTTTGGGGATTTTAGTAGCTTAGCACGACATTCTATATTCTAATTTGGAAAAAGAACTT